TCCTTCTCTCGCCCCCCCCCCCGTGGGTGTTTTTTTGGCTTCCTCATTCATTCTGCAGCAACGCTCCTCGTACCTAAAATAAATATCCCTGCAGCGCACAAAAATCCTGTGGGGTTTGCTCATCAGGTGGGTTACTACCAGGACAATTGTAATGTGAAAGTGGGGATAGGGACTGAACACAGGACATGTGCTGAACATGGGACATATGAATCTGCTGAGTCCAGGGGCATATAAGGGTGACAGCTTGGAAATGCTGCTCGACCCAGCCTACTAAATCCAGTGACATAAAAGGAGTCAGCTTGGGAGTGCTGATTAACCCGGTCCTCTCAGACACGCTCTGTTAATGTGTGTGTGTGTGTGTGTTCGTTCATCCGATTCTAGGGCTGGAAGAACCCAGCCCTGGGGACCGTGGGTCCTGCAGGATAGCTCCATTGGGAGGGAACTTGCAGAAGGGAGAAGTAGAGCTCCGTATGAAAACACAAGTGACACAAGCAGTACACTGATAGAATTACAGAACCCCCCTACCCCAAGAAGAGTAACCTTAATAAATGAGCATACCCCAAAGTAACGGGCAAATCTGGTAACACTATGCCACTCTAACTCTGTAGCATAGACACAGACTACAGTTATGGAATGGGTTTTTCCTATCACTGTAAGAACTCCAACTTCCAAAGCAGCAGTAGATAGATCAATCTAAGAACTTTTTTTGTTGATCTAGCTATGTCTACCCCAGGGATTAGGTTGGCACAGCTACAGTGCTCAGGTGTAGATTTTTCCACACCCCTGAATGCCGTAGCTTTGTTGACCTAAGTTTTGATGATAGATCAGGCCTATATTTTTTGTCCAATTTATCTCAGATTTTGTTTATAGGTTTAGCCAGGCTAGTGCCTTTGCGTTTCTTTTTTTATAAATGGAATTCTGTGATTTGAGAGCCACATGAGGCCGCAACTGGCTTCCTCTCTTCACAACACCTGAACTTGCTGAAAGCTAAGTGTTTAATGTCTAAACTTCTCTCTTTGCTTTTTGAACATGTCTTGCACTTCAATTTGCTGGAACACTTATAAAAATATTTATATGTACTTTCCTCAAGTCAAGACCTTCACAATATCTAAGGACTGCGTGAGTTTTTTTTAAAAACACTACTATCAGCCAAAATTCTAGCTAGTTAGAAGTGTAGGGTGTATTAATCAGGCTCAGGCAAGAGAACAGCAAAATAAATCTGACTCCTGAATGTTGTCTTTTACCGTATTGCTGTTTGCTTCTATTTGGACAACGCTTTTCGCTTATATACACATTTGTCAAAATAAGATACTAGATTTTTATCCAATACTACAATTCTTACTAACAGCGAAATAAAACCACAAGATCAAATAAAACATGTTACCTTCTGTTTTACACTAAAACTGTCAGTGGTTTTTACAACGAATTTGGAGGCATAAAACTAAACATCATTATGGTATTAGTATGTTTTAATGCTTGTGTGCTATTAGATGTTGAAAATACAAAGCTACAAGACGAAGGATAGACATGCCCATTAATTAGAAATATACCTGTAAAGATGTAATGGATCCCGTGTGTCCCTGGAGCACAGCAACTGGTGCGCAAGTTCTCAGACACCATACCCTGATCATTTTATCACAGCTTCCAGCTGCAATCATAGTGTTTTCATAATTCACAGCCATATCAGAAATCTCGGCTGAATGACCTCGTAGTGTGGCGAGCAACCGGCCATTGTGAGTTGACCAAATTTTCACCAAGCAATCATCTGAACCCTAAGAAAAAAGGGTTACAGAACCTGGCATAAGTTCAAGTTTATAAATACTCAAGATACTATCTGCTTCAGTTTTGTCTTTAAAGATGATGAAATACATTCTGAGTCTGGAAAATTAAGATTTTCTATTAAACCCTGCTTATGCTATTGGTGTTTATGGAACCTAAAATTTAGTCATATTGCATAGTGGCTCGAGTCACAAAAATTAGTGAAAAAGCTTCATCCCTTTCATCGAATTAGGCATCTATCTCTGCTTGGGATTCTCACCCAGGAACCCTCACCTGGAGTTAGGTGCCTAAGCTATTTTTTTTTAAGAAACAACCATGGGAAGGAGGAGGGAGCAGCCTCCAACTTTTAGCCTAGTGGGTACAGCACTCACCTGGGGTGTGGAAGACTCAATTTCCCCCTCTGTCTAATGTGGAGTAGGGACTTGAACTTGGATTTCCCACCTCTCAGGTGAGAGTCCTAGCCACTGGACTATAGAATATTTTGGTGTGGGTCTCAATCTCTCCTGTTGAGGCTATTCCATTGTGCATAAATAATTATTCACTGAGCCAAAGAGAAAAAAAATGAGTACACCGGACCCCCGCTAGAACGCAGGGTTTTGGATCCATGCGCGGTCCTGCGTTAACACGGGGACCGCGTTACCATGGATTCCAATGAAGGTAATTAAATTTGGAATCCATGCGCGGTCCCCCGCTATAACCGAATTCGCACTATAAAGACGCGCGTTCTAGCGAACGTCTGCTGTATAATCCAAGAGCTACGGCATTCACCTGAGAGGTAGAAAATCCAAGTTCAAATTTCTTCGCCACATCAGGTATAGGAGAGAAACGAACTAGGAACTCCCACATGCAAGTGAGTGCCCTAGCCACTGGAATAAAGATAAGACAGGCTGCCTCCTTCTCCCCCCAGCCCATCACTCCCTCCCAGCATTCATAGATTCATCGATTCCAGGACTGGAAGAGACCTTGAGAGGTCATCGAGTCCAGTCCCCTGCCCTCATGGCAGGACCAAATACTGTCTAGACCATCCCAGATAGACATTTATCTAACCTACTCTTAAATATCTCCAGAGATGGAGATTCCACAACCTCCCTAGGCAGTTTATTCCAGTGTTTAACCACCCTGACAGTTAGGAACTTTTTCCTAATGTCCAACCTAAACCTCCCTTGCTGAAGTTTAAGCCCACTGCTTCTTGTTCTATCCTTAGGGGCTAAAGTGAACAAGTTTTCTCCCTCCTCCTCATGACACCCTTTTAGATACCTGAAAACTGCTATCATGTCCCCTTCTCAGTCTTCTCTTTTCCAAACTAAACAAACCCAATTCTTTCAGCCTTCCTTCACAGGTCATGTTCTCAAGCCCTTTAATCATTCTTGTTGCTCTTCTCTGGACCCTCTCCAATTTCTCCACATCTTTCTCGAAATGTGGTGCCCAGAACTGGACACAATACTCCAGTTGAGGCCTAACGAGCGCAGAGTAGACCGGAAGAATGACTTCTCGTGTCTTGCTCACAACACACCTGTTAATGCATCCCAGAATCATGTTTGCTTTGCACATTGACAGAGTATTCTGGCATACTCTGAGAACAACAACTGGATCAAGCCTCACAAGTGGGGCAACACCCAGCCTGAAGACCCTGCTGGGGCTTAGACATGAGAGAGGCACCTGGAGTGTGTGCATACTCATTAGCAGAAACCTAGGCATCTAGGGAACACTGCTGGTGGGAACTCAGACACTGGGGAATTTTAGACACCAGCTGAGCAGAGGTTTTGAGGATCTCAGTGGTGCCTAAATGTTTAATTTAGGCATATAACTTCCCTTTTAGCTGCTTAAATTCTTCTGTTAATCTAGCCTTAAGTGGAAAAAAGTTAGTTTCAGCCTGTTTGATAACACAAAAGTCATCCCTTGTTATTTTGGCTTACTCTGAAGTTCACAGTAACCTAGTTTCATCCAAATAGATAACAGCAGTTTTTGATATCAAACACAAGCAGAAGACATTTGAAATGACATCAAAATAATCTGACTTTTTGTTAATGTTCTCTCCATTACCAAATCCACAAAATAACGGCAGTTAAAACAAAAGCTCTATACCATAAAACCAGTCGCCTTCTCCACTATTCACAAACATGCAACACCCAAAACAAAGAAATGTATCAAAGAAAAAAGCATGTATGTAGATATCAGTACCTAATAAGCAATAACGGCTAACAGTTCAAAAATGCTCCCCTACATACACATGCCAAACAGTTCACCCAAATGAAGTGCAGGAGCTAATTAGCTTTATTTCTAAACTTTAAATTCTGAGGTCTGAATATTTCAGGCATAAATACTGAGCATTTAAAAGCTACTTTCCCGATATCCAATTAGAAATAGTTCTAGAAGACCCAGCATTCACAGCATCAACTCACAGTAAATATTCTGTGTCCAGTCCTATCAAATGCAACACAGTAGACTGCAGAGAGATGGCCAAGAATCCGCCTATGCATCCTTATGTGCTGATACATACTTCCTGGAAATGATGTTCTATATGTTGCATACCCAGTTAATTGTTTTGCACGATTTACTTCCACTAAAACAAATACAAATAGATTAAAGAATGCAAGCAAAAAAAATAAATCATCCTGTGAAAAGCCATGTTTAAAAACTATTTCTAGGGAGCTTAGATGATAATTAAAAAAAAAACAGGTCTCCTGTAGATAGCCACTCTGTCTTGCTTCCATAACCAATAGATTACTGGATTTAGTAAAGTGACTCTCTAACTTGTGTACAGAACTCTAAAGTTTATTCTGAGTTTGTGGGTTTATGTTACAAAGAAGCAGGGCAGCTTTTTAATGTAATCTCGCCCCAAATAAAGTAGTTTTTTTTACAAAGACAGACAGCATCTTCTACCTCACATTTTGCCATGTACTTTCATAAACAAGAGAGTCCTTTTAACCAAACACCACTGACTTGCAGATACCATAAGTATCTCTATTTGCTTATTAGTACAATGGGTTTTTTAAAGCAGAAAGACTTTCATTTAGAATCTAACACCTTTCTCCTGCAATGAATTCTACATGGGTGGACCCCTGTGCTCATGCAGAGCCCCACTGAAGTAATATAAGATTCTATAGGTAAACTTTTAGAGCTGGTTCTTAAATGCAATTTCCATCACTATTTATATGAAGAGAAGCATAGAGAATATAAGTGTCAAGAAATACATATCACACTGAAGTTAGAAGTGATTTTATCATCTACGTACCAAGGCTTGGTGGAGGGCCATAGTTTACAGGAATTTCAGGAGGTCTTCCTCTACGAAGAGCAGCTAAAGCAGAGCACTTCCAAACAGTATTCCTGCAATCTTTGATATCAATGTTAGTTGTATAGAAAGTTACCCATAAGAGCACATTTCAGAAAAGCAAAACAAATGTTACTGTTCTGAAATCCATTACAAAGTTTAGCAAAAACAGTAATGAATAAGCCTGCCAAAGGGCCTCGTACCGCAATATTAAATTTAACAAGAGCTGAAGAAGATCAGAACCTCTCAACCTAAAACTTTCCAACAACAGTTTGAAAGCCTAGTTTTAAGACAGGTTACAATACTGTCCTGGCAAGGGAGGTTTAATAATGACACACACAGTCACTTGCTCCAAAGGCTCAGAGGACTTTAATTATTTGTGAAGTACCAACATACTCATTTCTGCACAAAATACAGATGATACATTTATACAGTAAATGATTTACTAATTGAGTTATCTGCATTATTGATGCGGTTATAAATAAAGCAACAAAATAACTCTGGCTATTCGAAGTCAACTTATAAAGTTTTTTTGCAAAATATATTTTTAGCAACATGTGTCTTCATGGCAGTTTACAGATAATAAAAATAAGATCACATGTGTCTAGGCTATTCTTGAAAAGTATTATGGGTCCCTTTTTCCAAAACAATGAAAGCACTTAAAGATTTATTTAAAACGAGAAGTTCCTCCTCAAAGAACTGCACTCTGTCCATCCAATATCACCATAAGAAACTTTTTTACATGTTATATGTAAGTAGCTAGTACTGCAGATCGGGTTGCACAAGAATTTCCATTCTACCCGTTTTATATCTTTTCAACACTGTCACCTTTTAGGCTGACATTTTATAGGACTGTTTTCTGCCCAAAGGCAGCTTTTTTTTTATTGTTATTATTTATGTATTTATTTATTTATTTTTAAATTTGTGCCAACGGGTCAGCTGTTTGACTACAAGAAGAGAGGAGACTTTCCCCAATATTAAAAGTTATTTATTTTAACAGGTCGAGTGCTGAAATGGGGGCAAGTCTGATTCACAACAAATGCAAAGTCACTGCCCCATTCACTGTGGAGCTAGTGAAGTGCAGAAGAGAGGTAACTGGGAAATGCAGTGGCATCCGCTAAAATAGTCCACACCATAAAATGCAGTTAAAAAAATAATACAAACCCCACAGAATTTCTCTCACATACAAATACACTAGAAACACCTGAAGGTCTTACTGATTACTTAATCACCAGCCTAGCATTACTGTCAACCATCCACGATCAGAAATGAGGCCCGACTTCACATGTATTACTAAAATGTGAATGGGAAGACACTGCTGGATTGGTTTTGGCACAATTGGTGGTGTTATATATAGTGAGCCATTTCTATCAAACACAAAATGCAGGAGCTCTCCTACTCCAAAAAATGGATCACTACCATGTTATCCCTCGAGATCCACAAGCAGAGTCAAAAAGGGACTGGCATTTGTGTACAGAGTGCCTTGATACACTGAAAAGCCCCATCATGATCTGAGGCAGATACTCAGAGAGGTATCTCCACAAATTGAGATTGGAATGGACCTCAGCTGAAGTCAGGAACCTCTTGATGGTATACGAAGGCATAAAAAACCAGAGCATTTCCAAAAGGCTCCAAGGGAGGATATGACTCCAACTAAAAACTACTCTAAGAAGGGTTTGGGTTGGGTTTTATAATATTTCGTCCTCAACTATTGCTTAAATGGCTTTTAGGCATTCTCTTCCCCCACTTTGTTCTCACAGGTCACCATGTTTACCAATGACCCATCAACAACTGAAGTGGGATTAAAGACAGATAGAGCACTGGTGACAGTAGTCTCATGCCAATCTGATAGGTAGCAAAAGGTTGTGTTTTTTAAAACATCTTGTCATGACTGAGAAGAGGGTTTCTTTGCCTCTTCCATAACACCCACAAATTTTCAATCAGTGGATCTGTTCAGTCATAGACAGCTTGATTAGTTCTGGCTACCTCCATTGGACGGAACTCTCCTTTGAAAGAGAGGTTGTCGTGACTTTCTGTGGGAAAAGTAAGTTGCCAGCCTCTCTGAAAGAAACAATTGTGCAACCATTGCTCAAAAATTAAACATTCATCACCTGACATTCACAATCTAGCAATAATCACCAAGTGTCTATTTCTACATTTATGGAGGTGGAACTATACCTTAATCTGCTCAGAAACTGAAAAAGCTGGCTTAAGTGAAGTTTCACACATACCTCCATGCATAGCATACCTCAAGATTAAATTGTTGCAACAACAAAAGCATGGATCAAATTAGCAAAGTGTGGGTCAAAGAAACTGTCAACTCCTGGTCTAGTGCAAATGAAAAAAGCTGTCCTGGTCATTGGTGTCACTAAGAGCAGCTAGGAATCCAACAGTATTCAAACGCTCATAACAAACAGCAGGTACATACCCAGAGTAAAGGCACACATACAAATCACTGACTTATCTTCCAGTTGCTTCCCCTCATCCTACCAACATCACTTCCACTTTATCTGGATTGAACATCAGCAAGCTAGCCCTCATCTGTGCCCCTATCCAAGCACTGGGCAAAGTATTTGGAAAGTACTAGGTAGACAAGGTGAGAGATATCTGCATTCGCTCTCTATTGGATTATGGGTGAAGTCAGTCTGTTGTTTTTGACCTATAAAGCCCTAACTGACTTGGGCCCTTTCTATTCAAGCCCATCCCTTTCTCAAAGATATTCCCTATGACAGTGGTCAGAGGAGGTGCTCAAACAAGAACATTCTTAGTCTAAATTAAACAAAGGGAGCTGCTAAGAGAGTACTCTCTATCAGTGGTCTGAATTTTGCAATTCATTGTCCCCATTCTTAGTCCAAAATAGCCGAAATCTGTTGATCTTCAGAGCAGGAGGAGTGAGCTGACTGCAGATTATTTGTGTGCCGATAGCTAATATTAGCGGCCAGGGTTGTTTCAGTTTCCCCTCCTAGTCTTGGAAAATTTGCAGGGTTTACTTTTCATACATGGCAATAGCGCTCAGACCCCTGGACAGGCTTCCCGCCCCACTCCCCACTGTATTGCAAAAATTTAAATAATTAATAAAACAAAACAATACCTTTCGCTGTACGTAGCAATGACTGCCTCCCTGCACCAAGTAAGGAATTCACTCTTGAAATGCTGGGTGGAATCTCTTTATCCAGTATAGGGCCAATACGCTTGCAAATTTGCAACAAATGATCTGGAGCCACATGTTTGTTGGATAAGACCTGATAAGAATTTAAGTTTAAAACAAATATATGGCATATCTAAAATAGATGATCCTATGTATGTCGGTATTTACATTAACATTTAGAAGTGCCTAAATATTTATATTATATAATTCATAGAGCAGAATCAGTTATATAAACTCTGATCTTTACAGTAATGAATTTTAAACTTTAAACTTTTAAAATTTAAAAATTATCCAGGAATGGGAAAGCTGTTGTAGAGAGACCTACTATACATCAGCATCTTACTATAGAAAATACAGACTTCACACAAATGGCTCAGACTGGAGCACCCTCTCATATTCAGTATTTTCCATAAAAGATATTTTACCACAGTTAAGAGTAAAGCTTTAGCATAAGCAACACCACCACTTTGCTCCAGATGCACACAAATTTCAGTGTTTCAATTCTACATGATATAATCATGTCTCATGCTCACTATTTTTTGTCTGATTTAACCAACACTTCACAAAAATACTAAGGCTCCTTGATTCATTTTTTGTCTACTGTAAGTCAGAAAAAATTATGTTATGGTCAAACGCAGGAGACAAATGAATATAATTGGCAATGTTGACTAAGAGTTGTACAAACTGGAAAGTTGTAGTCCACTGACATCACTTAAGGCTTAAGTCATCTACCTAGCTCCTCTGGAAAGAGCATTGGATTCTTCAAGGAAACTATGAAATGCAGCAAACAATCCTACTCTCACTGAATTCAGTGGCAAACCTTCCAAAGCTTCCACAGACATCTTAGGGGAATAAGATCACGTCCTTTACCCACTCACAAAGGATTCTCAGATATACTTAATTTAGAATCCAAGTATACACAAGCACAGCATCTTGCAACCAAAAATGCATGCACATTTTATTTCTCATATTTTCATTTTTTCAAAGTTCACTGCAAAAAACATGTATACAACTTCATGACTGACAACCTACTTGAGTAGGAGTCACATATTCAAAGTTAGGGTTTCCACAGCCTCCACAAATTGGCCAAATTTTTGTTTATAAGTATGAATTAGTGTGCCCATAAGATAAAAATATCAAAATCTCAATAAGTCAACCTTAACTTGAGGCTCAGGCTGCCCCATAACCAGAAAAGTAAAAATCAGACCCCCACACACTATTGCTGTACACTCATTTGGCAAGTACTTGTCTTAATCTGCATACATGTTTCATACGTAGATGGGGGATGAGTTATAGTTGTGAGAACCAAAACCAGTGCCTTGACTTCTGTATATTTAAGAAGGACAAACTCAACTTAAATTACACCCAAATTACCTTAAAGCAGGGATCGGCAACCTTTGGCACGCCGCTCCAGGCCAATGGGGGCGGCAGGAAGCGGCGCAAACCGCGGCCAGTGGGAGCCGCGATCGGCCGAACCTGCAGACGCGGCAGGTAAACAAACCGGCCCGGCCTGGCAGGGTGCTTACCCTGGCGGGCCGCGGGCCAAAGGTTGCCGATCCCTGCCTTAAAGTTAAAGTTTAAAATAAATAAATAAATAAAAACTTAGGACCAATAGAAAATTTTCTGTAATTTAAAAATAAAAATGATTATTTACATTGAAATTTTAAGAAATCCCCAGCAGTGTTTAAAACCCAAATACTGCAGCACTAAGAATCTGAAAGTGGAACTCACTTAATGTTAAGGTGACTTAATTGACATAAATACAAGTATTAAGCAGAACTTAAACAGGACAACTAAATGGGATTTTTACTATTTATTATTAGTGACAGTCAGTGACATTAATTAAATTAGCTTAAAAAAAATCCAGTACTGTAAGTAATGTCATTTTAAAATTCTAAAACCATAACATTTATACTGGTTTTGGCCTGAAAAGAAAATGTGATTAATCAGACACTGAAATAAAGTTATACATTACTTTCAGTATCTGAAAACCTGAGAAATGAATTTAGTGAAAGAGTCCGTGTTACTGAACACTGAAACATAACTGAATGTATAATACAGTAATTATGTTACTAAGACTGATTGCTAAACAATATTTGGTAGATCAATAAGTATACTTAAATCTTTTCATCATTTATTGAAGAATGTTTGCCACATCCTCTAAAGAGATACAAGAGTACTGATCAAGATGCTTCAAAGTAGAAAGCTTAATTTTCCCCTTCAAGTATATTTACGAAATACAGCTTATAAAAAGAGATACTACCTTCGTATACCCAATGTAAGTCTTGTTAAAAAGTTTTAAAAAGCCTAATAAAAGATTATTTTTTAAAAAATGGTTGGTTTTGAGTTTTCGTGACAGCAGTTATTTAAGCTCAGGCTCAGATTCTGTAATGAGTACTTGGTTTGACATGGAATACACCCAAATGCTCAACATTGCTGGTTTTGGGCCTTAAATGTTTGCCAGCTGTCCCTGAAACCCAAACCCAAAAGAATGAAACTGATTAGCCTATTTTTACACTTAGACAATTAAAAGTACCTAAACAGCATAAATGGCAAAGTAAAAAAATGTTAAAAAGCAGAAATTTTGATAACCTAAACTATTAACAGCACAGACAGGGATTTTTTTGTTGTTGTAGGGGAGAAGGGAGACACATACACAAAGGCTCCAATCCTAGGAAATCACATGCACAGACAGATGCATGAAGCCCCAAAGTCAATGAGACTCAGCATAGGAATATGCCAGCACCACATTTGCAGAAGAATTGGGGCCTACGTAACATCCTTCACAAGAAAACTTTCTGTGCTTACCTAAATTTAGGCCAGATCTTGGAAAGTAATCCTGTTGACTTCATGCAAGTAAAGTGAGCAGGATTGGTCCTTCAGTGTACTGATTTAAAGCAGTACTACATACATTTGCTCAAATAAGGGAACTGTCAAATTCAAAATTACATTTGTGGCTACCTTTTTGTTTTTAAAAGTATATCTACATTTTTCACATTTTTTTAATTGTGTGTAGTCAATTTCACTCTTTCCCCGTACCTTCAGTCACATACCACTTTACTTTGTCAAAGTATGGAAAAACATGAGAAAAAAACAGAATTTGATTGTAAAACTCCAAAGATTAGCAGAGGAACTCAGAGGCTGGTTTATTACTTGGAACTAACCACTCCAAGCTAATTTATATTACTTTTTAAAGTAATATAAATAAACTGAACTATAGACTTCCTATTGATGCTGTCCTCCCTTTAGTTTGTATCCACATAGCCACACATTATCATGCAGTATTTTAGAAACAGTAAAATAGAATACCAGGAACAGTTACATCTCTACTCTGAAATTGTTGTAAATACATTTAGTGCAATTAATTTGGCACAAGTTGTGCAGCCCTGAGCCAAAGGGCATCTTTCGGAACATTTTGATTAGTATGGCCAGTAAATCAGAAAGACGCCACTACAAATCCCCACCCCCAATTTCTGTACCAGTGATTTTGTTTCCTAATCTGTTGAAAGCAGCAGATGCAGGAAACCAAATAGAAAATAAATACCGTCCAATCAAAACCTGCTTAACAAGTCTCCGAGTGAAACACAGAAATGAAACCTCTTAACAGATTGGCTCTTCCCCATAGGAAGGCAGGAACACGGGCAAATGGCATAACCCGAAGCCCCGCCTATGCTACATAACATTATCCTCCAATTAAAAACACCCCTAATCCCTTATGTTTTTGTTTGTTAGTTTAAGGTAAAGAAGTCAAACACCCCTTCTAAAAATCAGCCTTCTGTCTCCTCCCAAACCCAGGGTGAAATACAAAAATAATTAAATGTAACAGCTGTTTTTTTATTAAGTGGAGAGTCTAACATTAACATTATCATTCTAATTCAACGTTGTTGTTTTTTAAATCTCACCAAATCTTCATAACTTCTACAATGCTCATTTCCTTCCCAATCCAACCTTTTAGGAAGCAACTAAATTGAAAAAGAAACAAAAATGAGTGATTAAAAGGGGAAGGGTGGGGAGATCAAATTCAAAACAATGTGGGGTTTGGTTTTTTTTAAAGAGAGGAATGACTTAAAGGGAAAAGGTAAGAGGATAGGAGAGGGAGAAAGGCAGCAGAGAGAGAGTCACACACAGACCTGGTGCTGCTCCAGCTCCTGCACCAGCACCTGCAGGGGAAGGAAGAAACAGATGCACACGAGTTAGGGAGGGGGAACCAAACCTCGCCCTCTCTTCAGCGGCCGCCGCAGCTGCACAGGGCTCGGGGCCAGGCACCGGAGCCCTGGGTGGCAGCAGCAGCGGCCGCGGCGGGTGCGCTTGGCGCTGCCGGGCTCTACTCACCTCCGCCGCTCTCCGGCAGGGCCCGGTGGTCAGGAAGCGGGCGACGAGGAAGTAGAGCTCTGCAAGAGAGACGGGGGAGAGCGATGAGCGCGGGGCTGAGCAGCGGGGCGGGGGAGCCCCTCAGCGACTGTAATTCATAATCATGACCGGGAAGATGGCGGCGGCGGGGAGCAGCAGAACCGGCGGCGCCCGGCCGGCTCCCTCACGCGCTCCGCTGTTACCTGATTCAATGAGCGGCAGGGAGCCGCCGCCAGAGAAGGGGACCGAGGGCTCGGCCATGTCGGGGGCGGCCCAGCCGCTACTGCCACGGCAGGACACGGGCTCAGGCAGCGTTTGGCGCGGGCAGGGCCCCGCTCGGCATAGTCCTATCAGCGCCTCCCCCACCGCGAGCGAGCGAGTCTCCCCCCGCCTCGCTCTAACTCAGCCTCGGCCCGGCCGCCATTGCCGCGGAGCGACCCGTCCCAGTGCCGAGGCTGTCTTCTCCGCCGGGGAGGGGTGGGTGAAAAAATAGTCCCTAGCCGGGGAGACTGGGGTGGGGGAGGGAAATGTTTGTATTCTTCTTTGAACCCTTCTCGGGTCAAAAGTAGCCGGCGGCCTGTCGGTACTGGAGCTAGTGGCGGGGGGAGGGGTCGCCACTGCTACTGTGGGTGTGGGGGGAAGCGAGATCCGGCCGCGGAGGGGGATGTAGGAAGAAAGAGAGTGACGAGGCACTGAGGGAGCGTCTGCACGTTGGCGAGGAGGGGGAGGGGGACTGGGAGATGCGCGTGCGGCCGGCCTGTGGGAGCAGCCGGCAGCTGCTGCGCCGCGGCGGCGGCCAAAGTGGGCTGGTGATGGCGGGCAGGGGCCGCGGGGCCTGGGCCGGCGGCCCTGCAGGCGGTGGGGCAGGAGGCGCCTGCTGGTCTCGGCAGGCTCTGCTGGGAGGGCAGCGCCCGCTCGTGCAGCGCCCGCTCGTGCAGCGCGGACCGGCTACACCTGGCTCCCCCGGGGAGGGGAAGGGCGAGCGGTGGCGGCCCGAGCCGGGGCAACGCGCGTCTCCTCCCCGAGGGCGCAGCTGCCCCCGGCACCCCTGTGACGGAGCGAGCGACAACGGCACCTCCCCATGCCCCATGTTAAATCAGGCTCCTCATTGTGGGGTCCCCTGAGCGCTCCCACCCGCGGGACCAACCCCCCCGAACCAGGGCAGGAGCCGCCGGTGCCAAACTAGCGCCGCTGGGGCTTTCTCTGACCTGGCCATCTCTGTGTTGCTTCCAGGCTGCTTCTCGCTTGAAGGTTCCCAAAACTCAAGATGGTCCAAGCACTTCCCTGGACTGGGTTCCCAGCGAAGAGCCCAAAGGGTTTGAACTACCCATGTCGTTTTGCCTTGCAAACATGTTCAGGTCACTGTCCCTTACTGTACTAGTTTTCACTCTCAACACTATGCCTTTAAAAAGAACAGGAGTATTTGTGGCACCTTAGAGACTAACAAATTTATTTGAGCATAAGCTTTTGTGGTCTACAGCCCACTTCATCAGATGCATAGAATGGAACATATAGTAGGAAGATATATATATACATACAGAGAACATGAAAAGGTGGAAGTTGCGATACAAACTCTTAAGATGTTATATATAACTTCGTACTGTATGTTCCATTCTATGCATCTGATGAAGTGGGCTGTAGCCCACGAAAGCTTATGCTCAAATAAATTTGTTAGTCTCTAAGGTGCCACAAGTACTCCTGTTCTTTTTGCGGATACAGATTAACACGGCTGCTACTCTGAAACCTGTCACTATGCCTTAGAGTGACCAGATGAGAGGAAAAAACTATTGGGACACATGGAGGGTGTGGGGGTCTACTGATGGAGCAAAAAAAAAAACACAGTGCTGCCGGCGGAGTGAAATATCGGGACAAATTGCGTCCTGACCAAAGATCGGTCGGGATGCAGGACAAACACCTAAATATCAGGACGGTCCCGATTTTATCGGGACGTCTGGTCACGCTACTATGCCTTTAGCTTCACTATGAGAATTTACAAATAAGGTTTGGATCGGGAGAGCCTGAGACATTTTAAGGCCTATGCAAGGGATATGAGCTTTGCTATGCTGCCTGAGTTAGGGTTACCAACAGCACACAATTCCCCATAAGTATCCAAAAAATATTTTGTATTTCCATCAGGCTGCTGGCACTCACCCTCCACCACAGTGTACTTTAGTCCAGATCATAAAAGGTATTTAGATACCTAACTCCCACTGAAGGGGTGGAGCTGGGGGCTAGCCTCCCCAAAGGGGAGATCCACCCACTGCCCATGTTGAAATCCATTATCTTTATTGTGCTGTTTTTCCTCCTACCATTCCTTAGAATCATGAACGCTATCATTTCATGATCACTTTCACCTAATGTGCCTTCCACTTTCAAATGCTCAACCAGTTCCTCCTGATTTGTCAGAATCAAATCTAGAACAGCTTTTCCCCAAGTTGCTATCGCCAACTTCTGAAATAAAAAAAATCATCTCCAATGCATGCCAAAAATGTGTTGGATTATCTGTGCCCTGCTGTATTATTTTCCCAACAGATGTCTGAGTAGTTCAAGTCCCCCATCACCACCAAGTCCTGTGTTTTGGATAATTATGTTAGTTTAAAAAACGCCTCATCCACCCCTGCCTTTCCTTCCTGAGCAAGCTGTACCCCTTTCTATACCCAGTCATGTATTACCTCACCAAGTCTCTGTGATGCCAACTATATCATAGTTGTGTTTATTCACTAGCATTTCTAGTTCTTCCTGTTTATTCTCCGTACTTTTTCCACTAGTATACGTCATCCACATTTGTTGAACCCCTCAAAAAATTCTAATAGATTGGTGGGGCATGATTTCCCTTTACAAAAGCTGTGTTTAGTCTTCTCCAACATAGCGTGCTATCTGTGTGTCTGATAATTCTGTTCTTTACTATAGTTTCAATCAATTTACCTGGAACTGAAGTTAGGCGCACGGGCCTGTAATTGCCAGGATCACCTCTGGAGCCTTTTTTAAAACTCAGCATTATGGTAGCTATCCACCACGCATCCTGTACAGAGGCTGATTGAGGTGCTAGGTTACATACTAATTAGTAGTTCTGCAATTTAATGTTTGAGTTCCTTCAGAACTCTTGGGTGAATATTATCTGCCGGTTTTTTTGGCTTCTCTTGCCAGGATAGCACACTACATTCCATTCTTCTTATTGCTTCCAGTATCAGCTGCTGATAAACCATAGTTTTCCTTATCTGCACACATTATTCCAGGCATCCGGTATTAACAAATTCTTTCCCATGTAATTTGTTGTGTGCTTCCACCCTCAAGCCATCTGTAACCACATCTAACAATTCACCTTCTACCTGCTTTTGATTGGGTGCTTTGGAGCTCGGCCTGAGGCAGCTGGTCATTACCTGAAAAGTTGATTCTCAATAACAGAAAAGGAAGTATCACAGCCATAAAAAAATTTTGCAGTTCTCAATTCTATCTTTTATTTTAGTTCTGGGATTGTTTTTGTTACAAACATATCCATTTGTGATTGACAGTGATACTTCCTCCTCCTTGGCTTTAGTCAACCTGGATCTGGCTTTCTTTTGATATACTTTTGTAACCCATGGCACGTCTGTATTCACAGCCTACATACTACTGCAATATTTGTACAAAATATGCCTTGTGAGGTATATGAAAGCTAACAACATGGTCATTAATATCATGGTAATATTCATGTGTTAATATATGTGAAATTATGAATTCCCTGTGCATGACATTACTAGAACATGTTTAAAACAAAAGCAGCATAGTCTAGGTATAGGTGATAAACAGGTCTGTCCTAGACGAAAGGATGGGTTTACTTAAATCTACATTAGCTGTAAAAAAGGCTAAACCAGCAGGGATCATCTTGAGCCTGAACTGAAAGAGAATGAACATGGCTCCTGCACCCCACAGAGACACAGGAGACTGAATGCCCAGGAAGCCTTCCTGACTTGTAAGGCAAAGAAATCCCTTTGGAAATACAAGGAACAGAGACTCTGTATTGATCCTTCATCTTAAGGAGACAACGAAGAAGTTATTCACCTTGAGCACTAACAATGGTTCTTCAAGATGTGTCCCCCTATGGGTGTTCCACTGTAGGTGACTCCCGAGCAGTGCCCACCACTGGAGCTAGGATTTCGGTCAAGTCCAATATGGATGATAGTACTGTGGCACTGAATTTGGCATCTGCAGCCAAATCCCCCAGGATGGCAGTGTTCTGTAAAAGTGGGTGCAGATGCCAGATAGCTGCTTGGCAGAGTTCTGATAATAGGATACCTTCGAGAAGGTGACTGGAAGAGACTGGCCTCAGAGTGCATGCGCATTTAAGATGGGGGTGTTACATTACACAAGTGGTAACAGTTTAATGCAGCCTGCAACCCACTTAGAGAGTCTTTGAGCTGAAATCACTATAACTTTTGACTTGTCTGCAACAGAGAGTAAGAGTCTGAAAGCTCTTGTTCTGTCCAAATAAAAGGCCCAGGCTCTCCTCACGTTGAGCATATGGGGGATTTCCTACGATCCTGATGAGGTTTGGGATAAAAGGTTGAAAGCTGAATAAGCTGATTCATGTGAAATGCAGAAATCACCTTGGGAGTGAACTTTGGGGGTGGGGGGGGCAAGTGGGGCAATTTGCCAAGCTGTTATCTTTTCCCTTAGGGCTACCATCCCTTTCACTTCTCAAATGCCAAATTATAGTCTACATTTAATTTCAGTGCCATAGAGAGATTCATGTCAGCGGAGGGTAGCTTCATTTAAAATTAGCCACTTTAGATTAACAGTGATAGAGCCAAGAGAGCCATGGGGGAGGGATCACGAGAAGAGCAATATCCTACACCACCTACCTCCTTCCCAACCCTACTAAGGGAGACCTCCCTCCCCTGCATTCCCCAAGGCTCCAGAGGGGTTAATTCAGTGGTTCTCAAACTTTTGTACTGGTGACCCCTTTCACATAGCAAACCTCTGAGTTTGACTCCCCCTTATAAATTAAAAACACTTTTTTATATATATAACACTATTATAAATGCTGGAACCAAAGCAGGGTTTGAGGTGGAGGCTCGCAGCTCATGACCCCCAGTAATAACCTTGAGACCCCATGAAGGGTCCCGACCCCCAGTTTGAGAACCCCTGGGTTAATTTAATTTTAGCACCCTGTGTCCATTCACATGCATGTGCTATTTTGATTATTTCAGTTTTCACAACATAGGCTCATCCCAAATTCTGGAACAAGCTCAAATGCTCAGTTTGTGGAGTATGTACATAAGCTATACTAAAGACAAACCCACGGTAACCGTCTCCAGTTTGTGAGGGACCCCATGGAGCCAGTCTCTAGGAAACAGATAAATTCATGGAG